TTTTACCTTCGTTTGAGTATTAAACTTGCTTCGTTATTACGCTGGAACATGACAAGAACTTTACGAGAATCACAGCGTCAAGTGTAACATCCTCACAGCATTGCACTGCCCCACGACCTCCTCAGCATTGTACTCTACTTTCGCACGACCTCTTCACAGCATTGTACTGCCCCACGACCTCCTCAGTACTGCACTGCCCCACGACCTCAGCATTGTACTGCCCCACGACCTCCTCAGCATTGTACTATACTTTTCCGCGACCTCCTCAGCATTGTACTATACTTTCCCGCGACCTCCTCAACATTGTACTATACTTGCCCACGACCTCCTCAGCATTGTACTTTCACACGACCTCCTCAGCATTATACTTTCACACGACCTCACATCATTGTACTGTCCCACGACCCCCTCACAACATTGTACTGTCCCATGACCTCCTCAACATTGTACTGTCCCATGACCTCCTCAACATTGTACTGTCCCATGACCTCCTCAACATTGTACTGTCCCATGACCTCCTCAACATTGTACTCTACTTTCCCACGACCTCTTCACAGCATTGTACTGCCTCACGACCTCCTCAGCATTGTACTCTACTTTCCCACGACCTCTTCACAGCATTGTACTGCCTCACGACCTCCTCAGCGTTGTACTGTCCCACGACCTCCTCACAGCATGGCACCACAGTCGTCTGGCAACTCAGGGAAGGCTCTATCATGGCATCGTGCCCAGGTATATATTTGCACGATAAAACTAGTTATTTCTTCCTGACTGACACGCGAGTGGTTACCAGAGCCACCCCCTTGCCTGTAATTACTGCCACCTGGACGTGTTGTCATCTGGAGCCCCGTGAATAATGAAACTCAACATAGGTACTCTACACCGATGCCTCGACATAGGTACACTGGTGCCTCAACATAGGTACACCGATGCCTCGACATAGGTACTCTACACCGATGCCTCAACATAGGTACACCGATGCCTCAACATAGGTACACCGATGCCTCAACATAGGTACACCGATGCCTCGACATAGGTACACTGGTGCCTCAACATAGGTACACCGATAGGTACACCGATGCCTCAATACCGATGCCTCGACATAGGTACACCGGATGCATCAACATAGGTACTCTACACCGATGCCTCAACATAGGTACACCGATGCCTCAACATAGGTACACTGATGCCTCAACATAGGTACACCGATGCCTCGACATAGGTACACCGGATGCATCAACATAGGTACTCTACACCGATGCCTCAACATAGGTACACCGATGCCTCAACATAGGTACACTGATGCCTCAACATAGGTACACCGATGCCTCGACATAGGTACACCGATGCCTCAACATAAGTACACCGATGCCTTAACATAGGTACACCGATGCCTCAACATAGGTACACCGCTGCCTCGACATAGGTACACCGATGCCTCAGCATAAGTACATCGATGCCTCAACATAGGTACACCGATGCCTCAACATAAGTACATCGATGCCTCGACATAGGTACACCGATGCCTCAACATAAGTACACCGATGCCTCGACAAATTGCTCTTACCTTTTGTGTAGGATGGAAGATTTGGATGTACTGTGGAGTAGACGTGTTTACAGTCTTCCAGAATGGGCACAACGCTTCGCCAAAGATTCGGTCGTAGATATGTATCCATTCTTCAGTTTTTCTTTGGAGATAAATTGGTTTTCCTTATTCTTCCTCTCCCCTCGTCTTCCCTCTCCCCTTCAGGTGGCCGGGGGCTGCCCTCCTAGTACTGCAATAATAATAATAATAACAATTACGGTTTATTGAAAAAGTTCTGCAGCCCGAAGGCTGAAAATATACATTGGACAAAAATTACTTATTACATACAAAGACATGGGGTGGGTGGGTCGTTTAACAAAAGCTTTCATTACTAAAAGGAGAAGGAAAATTAATTGAACATACAAATTATTATAGTTTACAGTTGATGACCCGGGCCTGGGCCGGTCATGGAGACATCGGGTGGTGTGGTGTTCACATGGTGTAGTAACTCGTCCTCCGGTGTTGATATGAAGGACCTCACGTGGTACTGGAGACACCGGGTGGTGTAGCACCACGTGAACACCACACCACCCGGTATCCCCATGACCACGTGAGGTCCTTCATACTGTGTGTGTGTGTGTGTGTGTGTGTGTGTGTGTGTGTTTCGTCCTGTAGGAATGGGACTATTTGACCACTACTAACAACACTTCCTCGGGCGACACTTTTACGTAACAGGTAACGCTCTGACAAACCCATCCAAATAATTTAAATACGCCCCTATATGTATCCGCTTCACCAGCACCTCCCTTACACCGCTTCCAACACGCAGGAGTGTACCGCGTTACCTGTCCACCACAGCGCCGCCACCTGGCCGATCAACGTAAAGCTACCCCTCCCCCCCCCCAAAAAAAAAAAGTTGAGTACCATTTTCTTGCTTATGAGTTGTGTTTATCATTTATCTTCGTTTATTCGGCTAATTCACTTTCGACCGTAACGTCTTTGTTTATTTAATATAGTTTCGCTTCTCCTTTCGTCAGTATTTTCGACTCCCCGTCATCTTCAAGTGCTGTGACGTGTATTTTCTGCCAACCTGTTCAGTTAGCTCTTGAGAACCGGTGGTGCGTGAGGCGGTGAGTAGTAAAAATGGTGTTTGTGTAGTCTTAGTTACAAGCGCGTGTCATCTTCAGGGAGGAGACCGTCCCCACCCTCCCTCCAGCCGCAACCTTGACAGTTATAATGTTTAAAATAAATATATATTATACAACATCAGTTACCAAGGGTTAAAAAGTTGTAAGGTGTGTGTGTGTGTGTGTGTGTGTGTGTGTGTGTGTGTGTGTGTGTCCTGCTAACGCATTTACACCGTGTTAAATATAATCCCAACCTTCCATCCTTTATTAGTGATGATTGTGGGATTGTGGATTTTTTTTTTTAGAGTGCATTCATCATGTCCGCCTCTCCCTCGTGTTGACAGATATACTATTTGCACTGTTGGTATTTTTAAAATGGTTAAAATAACTTGTACATTACAAATACTACCATTAATGTTAAATAAATGTTGATTATAACTCGGGGTCTTCTTTTTATTTTATGTAGATTAATGTAACTATTTAGAATCAATAATGTTAGAAAATAAGAAATATCCCCTCTATTTATCAACAGTTCAGCACAAGGTATTATAATTTCTTAATATATCTGTACATATAACCGTAATATATAGTCTTTATATAATATTTACTCTGTAGTTATGACGATTCTCGTCTTCCTCATGTAGAATTTCTGTCTAATTGGAGTAAATAAAAGGAGTTTGAAACGCTACGTGAAAGAAAAGTCGAGGATGATGGCGAAGATGAGCTGATGTAACCGACCTGTTGCACTAGTTTTTCCCGGCGACGCTGCGGGAGTGTTGGCTCCTTGTGTCAGCCTTAGTGGGGGTTGTGTGTGTGAGGGCTGGCTGCACGGTGCTCATCCTTATGTGAACTACAATCATAAGTGAAAATAGAACTTAGATGAGGTTCAGGATCAGGGTATAATTGAGCGGCAGGTTTTGTTGATGGCGAGTGTTACGTCAGCTTCAAGCGTTAGTGAGGATTAAGGCTCGGTGATGCGCGAGTCGAAATGACGCCGAACTTTTGGTGAGACTTCAGTAAGGATTAAGGGTTTGATGATGATGCCCCGGTCTTGTGTGAAGTTTCAGTATAGCGAGGGTGAAGACTGTGAGAAGCAAGGTGTGGTAATGTTCAGCTTTACGTAAGACTCAATCTTAGTGAGGGTTTACGTCCACTCTTAGGGTGTAGACAGTGTACAAGAACCGCATCTTAGATTACGTGCGTTTGACAGTATCCTAGAGTGACGTTTGACAGTATCTTAGAGAGAGAGAGAGAGAGATGTGTGACAGAGCAGTAGTAGTGTGAGGTGAACAGTTGTGTCGTGGTCCATCGGATTATTTAGGTTAAGCGACCTGACTGGCCTCTTTCTGCACTTGATCTCGGTAGCAGCGGGATGACAACTCTCTCCCGCTAGTCCAGTTATGGGCATTAGTGTATCCATTTACATACCAACGTACATCTTTTTTTTTTATGTCCTAATTATAAAGATGGTCTTGCTGTTTGTAGAGTTGTGGAGATTTATTTATTTATTTATTTTTATTCACGGTTTTTGCTGTTAGTTATATTCTTACCAAGATTTTTGTGTGTGGTAATGGTATATATTTTTAAGTTTAGGCTCCTACAGCGTTAACATATTTATGAAGTTTGTAAATTCCTTGTGTGTGTGTGTGTGTGTGTGCGTGCAGACAAGCGCCAACGCCGGAAAGACACTGCCACCGCCCCTCCCGCACTAGATGTAGCCCTCCACATGTGCAACATCTGTGAACAACTCTGCCAGTCCCGTATCAGCCTCTTTAGTCACCTCAAAATTCACCAATGAAGGTGACATCCCTAATAACTCATACCATTGTATCATATCATTGTATCGTCATACTCGATTCCGAGTGACAGCAAAGTTGTGTGTGTGTACAGTGGCAATAATGATAAGTACTGTAATGACTCGGGGTGTGCCTAATAACAAGGTTCGTAATGAAGGTGGATAACTCCGCTGCACCGCAACAAATTACTAATATAACGAATTCGTGTGAGATCTTGTTTTTATAATGTCTACATACAAGATCGTATTCCCGGTACAAGTGTGTGAAGGAAGGTACAAGTGTGAGTGAGGGGAGGGAGGATACAGGTGTGAGTGAGGGGATGGGGTACAAGTGTGAGTGAGGGGAAGGAGGCTACAGGTGTGAGTGAGGGGATGGGGTACAAGTGTGAGTGAGGGGAAGGAGGCTACAGGTGTGAGTGAGGGGATGGGGTACAAGTGTGAGTGAGGGGAGGGAGGATACAGTGTGTGAGTGAGGGGAGGGGGTACAAGTGTGAGTGAGGGGAGGGAGGATACAGGTGTGAGTGAGGGGAGGGGGTACAAGTGTGAGAAACAGCACACACACACACGTGCATAAGACAGTTCTGTACCCTAGATAGCTAACCTGGGGTCCAAACTCATTCATTTACCTCGTCATCTTATTTACCTTTTTATCACAGGTGTATAATTAGTGTCATCCTTCTCCACAGTCGTCTAGTGAACATTCTCAGGCCATCTATATCTTTATACACACATTACCACTGTTTAAGAACATCTTGACGAAAGCTACGAATACTTCAAACCTGTGTATTTGTTGTGTCCAAGTTCCCAAGTGTCCCCGATTATATAACTGGCCTCTACCAACTTTTCACCGTAGATCGTGATACTTAACGTCAAGACACCGGTAATTTGTGGCCAGAATTAACTTTTAAGATCAATGGAAAAAAAAAGGTCTCCGAAAATTCTGATTTCCTTTGATGTCTTGTTAGTTGTTTATTATTAGTGTTATTATTATTATTATTATCGATTTATACATTTATATATCCATAAATATGGTATTAGTGTTGACCGCTTCCCATGACTGATGTATGAATATTAATGAGAGGAACGGGTGATAAAAATACAAATCACTTTAACCTAACTCACGACTTACATAACCGCAAGTGGCCCATGGTGGGTGTAAAGAGGGGCCACAATTACCTCCTACAAACCGGTTCTGGAGACATGCTGGCCACCTCAACGGTCACCTCACACATATCATTATCTTCTACCTCCAATAGACTCACATCAGAGTCAGGTCATTATTGTTCATGGAGTTTTTTTTTAAGATATATAGTTGGTCATCTCCCCCGAGTGCTCGCCACTAGCCACATCTGTCTATCACTTGCTTTACAACAATTATTTCCAATTCCGGAATAATTAGAGATACAACTTAAGGCACCCAGAGCTACTAACACCACCCCCCCATGCGCTCCTCTCAGTCCCAGACCTCCATAAAATATCACGGTGTGCAGGTGTGTAACAACTTACCCCCACACATCCGAGCAAAGACTACGCTCCCTTCCTTTAAATCATCTCTTAAAAAATATATATTGTCTAAGTATTGATATTTCTTGTAATACCTACTATATATATACCTGCTCTTATTGTACCATCAAAACCGTTTTATCGGAAATTATCATGTAAATAGATAAGAAATTACCATTGCAATAAATATATTTGCCAACTAGACATAATCCTGACAGCTCTGTCCTCTTGTTCAACCTTAATACTGTACAACCCATGTTGTACTGCTTCCTCATTATACTTATGGTTTTCAATTCCACTGTAACGTATGTATAATATTTATAATATAAATGTAAAAAAATAAAAATAAGTAAATACTAAAATAAATAAATAATGAAGTGATAACACTGGTAACATTATGAGATGTTCATATCACCACCATGCTATGTGTATTATTCCCGATGATACTAAGTGTTACATAATACTTCCTTGAGATAAATGTACAATATATATCAGGTGCCTACAGGAGAGCTCAGGCTCTCAACTGGCTCAGCCATGTTAATATTGTTATTATCTAATATGCTATGGCGCTAGGCGTGCGTGTATCTGCTCTGGGCAGCCGAAACGGCACAATCGTTTTTCATCAAACTTGGTGGAAAAATCGCAAAAAATTCGTAGAGTGAAACAAACCTGGTTCCATGTCGATGGTTTCTTTAGGAACGCATTAATTAACGATTTTATTTACGCTGGCAACAGATGTCGCTGTACTCTGTCAGCCGGCAGGACGATTGCAGTTACCATACGGCTCCCTCCTCCTCCCCCCACTTTTTCTCTTAGCCTACTTTTTTTTAATGTTGTTTGGATTCGTAAAGGAAGGAAGATGAGTAAATAGAAGAAAGAAGGGGAAACAGACAATAGTTAGAGATAACAGGTGGGGGGAGCTGAGTTTCATCATGCGTCTGGATGCGCAGTTTCAACTTTACCAGAGCATTTTCGGACCTTACGAGGCTACAGTGTGTACTTATTTCTCTCCTTATGGCGAATATTTCTTTAACTAATTATTCTAACCTTTATTCTATTCCTTCCTATAGTATATTAGATACTGTAAGTATCACGACCATGATTATAACAACCACGACCATGATTATAACAACCACGACTATGATTATAACAACCACGACTATAATTATAACAACCACGACTATGATTATAACAACCACGACTATGATTATAACAACCACGACCATGATTATAACAACCACGACTATGATTATAACAACCACGACTATAATTATAACAACCACGACTATGATTATAACAACCACGACTATAATTATAACAACCACGACTATGATTATAACAACCACGACTATGATTATAACAACCACGACTATGATTATAACAAACACGACCATGATTATAACAACCACGACTATGATTATAACAAACACGACCATGATTAAAACAACCACGACTATGATTATAACAACCACGACCATGATTATAACAACCACGACTATGATTATAACACGACCACGACCATGATTATAACTACGACCATGATTATAACAACAACGACCATGATTATAACAACCACGACTATGATTATAACAAACACGACCATGATTGTAACTACGACCATGATTATAACAACCACGGCTATGATTATAACAAACACGACCATGATTATAACAACCACGACTATGATTATAACAAACACGACCATGATTGTAACTACGACCATGATTATAACAACCACGACCATGATTATAACAACCACGGCTATGATTATAACCACGACCATGATTGTAACTACGACCATGATTATAACAACCACGACCATGATTATAACAACCACGACTATGATTATAACAACCACGACTATGATCATAACCACGACCATGATTGTAACTACGACCATGATTATAACAACCACGACCATGATTAAATACAGACGCGAGCTCACTTCTCCAAATATTTCCTCCATTACTGTTTTGTCGAACTATATAGTGAACTGGGCACGAAGGGCGAAGGATCTCCTGTTATTCACTCTACTCTATATCTGTGTTTTTCTGGCTAAATAAACTGTTTCAATTCAATTCAGTAAAGAAACTAGAACTCTATAAAAACTTGGTGGGCAGTGAGATTCGTAATATTCTCTCTCTTTTTTTTATCTAAACTATCACAGTTAACCTCCATGGATTATATCTTAAGTAATGTTCAATATCTTGTACAAACGATGCTAAAGAAGGTCTTTTTTTTTTTTTACTTATTTACGATGAAATCCCGTCAGTTTAATAGATGGTATTGGCCTTTAGGTGTACTGTTAGCTATTATATAGAATAAATAAACCACGATTAATATCAAACCGAAATAGTGACCCCGTTATACACACACACACACACACACACACACACACACACACATTAATGACACCACCACATAGGGGGGAACATAACCCGAAGTACAGGCAGCAAAAATCACATAGTTTGTAAACAGTAAACACATCAGGTTTGTCCAGCCTCGTGACTCTTAATACCTTGACCTCTGACTCAACCAGTAGAGAGAGAGAGAGAGAGAGAGAGAGAGAAGAGTGTGTTGAAGGTTATCATTGTTGCCAGAATGAGGTAATAGCGAGTAAGAAACAAATGGAGACAAATTTGAGAGAACTGTATAATTCATGCAACAGACAGAACGAAAGAGAAACAAATAAACCTATGAAAGAGAGAGAGAGAGAGAGATGTGGTCAAGGATTCAATATCTCCGGAGTCATTTGTACGACTAGGTTATCACACAACTGTTACACCCGCTGCCAAGGTCCTCCTGTAGGTGTGGACGACTCGCCAGGTGGGAGGAGGTAATGAGAGAGATGCTGTGAGGGATGGGGATGATGGGAGAGATGCTGTGAGGGATGGGGATGATGGGAGAGATGCTGTGAGGGATGGGGATGATGGGAGAGATGCTGTGAGGGATGGGGATGATGGGAGAGATGCTGTGAGGGATGGGGATGATGGGAGAGATGCTGTGAGGGATGGGGATGATGGGAGAGATGCTGGAGGGATGGGGATGATGGGAGGGATGGGGATGATGGGAGGGATGGGGATGATGGGAGGGATGGGGATGATGGGAGGGATGTAAGAGATTAATTTTATCATAAGCAACTTTTTGTGTAAGGGGCTCTTCTTTTTTTACATTTCCTATTTTTTCTCTATTTATTCTTCAATACTTATATACTTGCTTCATATCTATATTTTCTATTAATCTTTTCTTGTGTATATATATTAATAATTATATATTCTAAGTCTTTCTCTCTGTAAGTATCTATCTTAAATTTCTTTGCTTATATTTTCTAAGTCAATATTCTTTTTTTTTTACTTTATTCCTTCTGTTATATATATTATTGTATTTTCTGAATATTATGTCCTTACTCTCAATTATATCCTGTTTTAGTTATATTCTATACGATGGATTAATCTGGGAAACCATGTCATTCTTACTATAACACTTATTATACTTACCACGGTAGCCTGCCACCACCCAGACTTTTATTAGAATATAAAATATCTCATTGGACTGTGAGGTAGCATGCTTGCGAGCTTCTAGGCACGTGAGTTACAATAGTTATTTTCTGAGAACCAACGGGTAGAAGGGGTAGAGCGGTGATACTCGTAGTTTACTAATTCAATATTTATTAATATAAAGAGTGAACAAGATGTTAAATAAGTACACTCAGACAATACTGGACCACTTAGGTCTTACTTTACAATTCATAAAATAGATCTTCAATTATTTATTACATTATTAAACAGCTGTTATATTATTTCTTTGACAAGGAGCAAAATAGATCTTCAATTCTTGGTTACAACGTTAAACAATCATTATATTACTTCATTGTCAATACAGATGGTTATACGACACACTTGACAATATCCCAGATTAACATATTATTTATAACATCATGTTATTTGGGAATGAACAGCATGGTACTTTTCCCTTACTTGGTAGTACATTAGCATTTTATATGTTGTGCTAACTGAGGGTGAGAGAGACCTTTCTGGATGGCAAAGTCAGGTCAGTTGTG